TGCTACATTTTTGTTTATTTATATTACGTTTATTGGTCTTCTTTTTTCTACTGCTTTTGCTGATTAGTTCTGGTGTGGAAGCAAGAAACCGGCCGCTGCCCTGCAGCAGGTGCTGACCGATCCGCACAGCCCGGAAATATTCAGGGTCATCGGCGTCATGTCGAATCTGGACGAATTCGCGATCGCGTTCGACTGCAAGCCGGGCACGTTCATGAACCCTGATTCGAAGACCCGAAGAAAATGTTCAGTTTGGTGATCGCTCGCGGGGAGGAGAAGTGTCGTTGCGCCCTGACAAAGTGCAGCTACCAGTGCATTCCCCGCACAACTTTGAAAAACTTTTTGTAGAGGAACTAAGTGAGGATGTGATCGCCCGGCCGTCGGCAGAACCTTTAAACTTGACCTCATCGTCGATAGCAGAAACTCGTTCAGTGTTTCCTCAGCACTCGTCCATCTAGTTATATTTTACGGCGGATCATGTATCTCAATTGTTTCTCCACGACGATACGACTCCGCCGCAGAGACGAAACCGTGGTGATACGCACGTTCAACAGCATTTCGACATTCGGCAGATGATCATTAAGTTTGTTCATAATGAAATGATGCCCATACTTCCGAATGCAGTGATTACATTCCATGTTTGCTTTTCTGCCGCTATGTTAATTGCCTCTTGCATCATTTCTGAATTCCCACAATTGTACGTATTTCTTCCCATTTCTCTGCCTTTGCTTTCCTTGACTTTAGAGCAACACTCAACTAATTTTTGTAAGTAGGTGACCTCGTTTAGAATAGATGTACTTTCTGCATGACAAATATATTAAACATTAAAATCGCCTTTATGGACACAAAATAACTTATGGTCTGTTTCAGTAATGATCAAAGCTGGATTTGAAGCAGTCAGGTAATCGCATCGCGACAACCATCAGTACAAGCATTTTGTCGCAAAACATTCGCTGTTTCAGTCGAAATTTGGTCGCTTTGTGCCGAATCATCTATAATAATAAATTCTTTTATGCCTTGCCTCGGTAACACTGATTCTACCATATTATCTGGGGAACCGTTGTCATAGCAAAGACAGGAAAAATTACGGGGAGGTTAAAATATGGACGTTGGCCGGGTTAGACCAACCGGTTGCACATAAACCTCCTGCAACCCGTGTGGAGAATTCACTCTCAATAAATGGTATCTTGGGAACCTGGTAACTGCGTCAGTGACGTCCTCGTGCAATCATGAATCTTGCATGAGGACACGCGCACTGAGGGATATCCTCACTGTTTTCTATGATCAATACAAGCTCAATGCAATTTCACAGCTGACCGAACATTCGCTGATGGAACAGTCAGCATTGCTGGATGTTGTGAGATTGCTGATTTGAAAACCTTCTGCCAATCAATCGCTGTTCCGTGGTTTAATTCCGTTTTAATGTGATGCTTTTAATATTCCTAACTTTCCTAACCTTTACTTGAGGCAGACGAATCAATTTTCAAAAAATTGTCAGAGCAACGTCGAGAAGCACAAGAAATATCACTGGCAACAATTTGTTTACAGTAAGAACCAGCTAGAGGAAAAGCTACGTAGAATACAACTCTGCTGAGGTCAGATCAAAGTCACAACAAACCGCAGAAACCCACTTTACACCCAAAATTAAGCTGCATACATTTCTTTCGCTCCATTTGGAATACGACGGTTTAGTAATCAGCTAGTGAATTTTTCCCGACGCATTACTTTCACAGTTACAAATGATGATTCAGCTCTGATCGTTGGCTAATGAAATAACACTTAGAGATGAATCACTAGTCCCATGCCTCTTGACAGTCCGGAATGAGCCTCGGTACACAGCTGCAGCTTCTACATACTGAAAAGTCACAGCTGCGAATACTTTCAGAATTTAAGGGTGAAAAGGCTACTAGAGTAACAACCCGACCAAAGTCAACGGTTACATAACCAAAGGACCAGTGACTGTGTATCAGAAGACTGTGTTCGGGTATCTTCTGCCGAAATTGAAACGCTGGAAACCTTGTCTGAGGTGTATACCTCGGCGATCAGACTCAAAAGTCATCGAAAGTGACTGAGATCATGAGTAAATTGTTCGTTTTGGTGTGGCACTGCATTGCTCGAGAAGATCAACACACTCTACTCTTTGGAGCTGAGCATCGTTGACGAAGAACTGGCTGCAAAGCGACTCCTGAACTGAAGCGGACAAGCAGTTCTGAGCATTCAAGATTCTCAGGTGAATAATTAAACGCGAAAAATACAGAACACGATCATCGATTGCGAAAAATGCAGAAACCACTGAGGAATCAACAGCGCACCTACAATTCCATCGCATCATTAATATTCCTGTTACAATAGTGGATACAAGATCTTGCATCTTATGCACACAGGAAATAATGTCGCATTCTTTGTGATGATCTTGCATCACTAGCAAGACCGAAGTTACAAATGCACATAAGAAATAGTGTCTCCCCATTTATAGCTCACCTTAAGGTTAAAAACTTGGGTTTAGTTTAATGCCTAAATTAACTATCGAAAATCCGAAGGCGATTCTGCTATTTCAGCCATCTCTATTTTATACCTTGCTAATATATTCTACAAAAAAATGCATTTTATTTGTTAAGAGAATCATCTTCAGTTGCTTTTATAAGTTCTGGCTTGTGATGTCGGCTGCATTCGCAGCACTCTTTTGCTATAAGACAGCCGCTACTCTACCGTAAAAAAACCCCCTCCGGCTCGGAATAACGAAAGTCGTTGTTTTTGTCCGTTGGCCTAATGACCGACGTTTACCATATTTCAACTCACACACGAGAAGCTCATGGGCTGGTGTAAGTGGTGCATGTTGAACCAACTTACACAATTTTCCCTTCTGAATCTCTTTATATGCATAGGATATCTGTATCCAAAAGGCAATAGATCTGTACTTTACATACATCTGTCACTTAAACCTTCATCATGCTTCGAAGCCAATGCTACAGCAGCAGTTCAAACGACTTGGCCCTGCATTAACAACAGCAGCTATTAAAATAATATCGGTGATAAGCCATGTCTTACTGTAGCAAACAAAACACGCATACACATCCAGGGAGCGAAACAAGTAAATTGTCATGGAAATGGAGGCGACCTTGAATGTCCGCTATTCACTCTCTCAGAAATGGGTTGCATAACGAACGTTCACAGCTAATACACAGACTGAAACCAAGAAACCCCTGCTCAGTATTATGCAGTCTAAGCTTCGTGCGGTATGCTGCAAGTATTCGCTATTTTAAAATGGAGTTGGATGTCGTTTGCCGTACGTAAAGCCAATACAGATATAAAATACAGGCAGCTGTATTCAACAGATGCCTCTGCACCTCCTGAACTTCTGGGATCAGAGGCGCTACATACCCCTTAAAAACAGCTTTAAAGCAACTTCACTTACTATCTCTGTGAATAACCCGTAAATGTCGTAAAAACGTCAGTTCATGGACTATTTACGATTGCTCCAGCTTTTCTGCCAATCCTCTATTAAACTTCTTCGTTAAAGTACCGATTTTTGGATTGTTTGAGGACCTAACTAAGGTAGTAAACTTTCAGGTATTCAGTGTATAAATACGGAGAACCTCAAAGGGACATGGCAGCCACGCATTGTCCGCATGAGACAAATGGACCAGAGAAAATTTATCGTCGGCTACTAACGAGTCAGACGCTAAACACAATCACCACTCAGCATTGAAATACACTTACTTAGCTTTCTATTTAACGTGCTAATATTTTGACTGATCCTCAGTCGAGTCATCTCATCCGCTTTAACTGATCTTTCCCTCGCTGTATAGTTAACGTTCATGGAATATTACACACATCAAATGAAACTGAACCGAATATGCTCACAAATAATGTTTTAAACCGATTTACGTAACATAACTGCAACTGTATCTTCTGCGATACAGCACATGGATTTTTTTAAATATCTTATATACCCTCACTGCTAAAATTAAGTCATCTTGTGAAAATCCAATGGACACCATTTTTGCAAAGCTCTTAAGTACGCCACGTCAATCAACCTGTCTGCTGCATTTCTCAAACCAGTAATGTGCGAAATAAAACAAAATAGACGCCTTCATTCAAAGAACTGCCAATTCATTTCCGGTCCGTTACCGATTTCGCAGTTAGGAAGACAAAAAGAAAACCATAAGCCCTCATAACGAAACAACTGCATTTAACTATATAGAAATCAAGATGATCAGAAATAAATTCGAGTAATCTCTTACAGTCGTGCAAAACCGGGTTATCATCCATTGTGAGTGTAACCTGTTTGTACTAGTAAAGAAGTCTACACAAATTAACTGAATTAATTCATAATTCTATCTGCACTGATATAGAATGAAACGATTCAGTCAATAATACCGCCGCTTCACTACATTATTAGTAATTATACGGCCTATTACATCTCAACAATGTTACATGTATTTGACAATACCCCGTAACCTTTATGTAGGTTAAGACGTATACAGTAGTGCGGTAAAAACCATACACTACAAGTCTGAAACTGAATAGCAAAGTAATTTCACTCCTAAAACGTATAGACGGGATAGACTATCAGTCTAAAGAGTAAGGAAATGTACTGCGCATGCGTCAGATTGAAAAAGTAAAGGTGAACAATTAATAAACAAACAAATGATTTAATGTTGCCAATTATATTAATATACAGTGAAACACATGGAGACACAATCATACAAACCACAGAAAAACCGTTACTCAGCATTTCCATTATCCATATTATCATTTCTCTAAATAGAATGGTTTGAAAATTGCACGTTTCAACACTATGAAGTTACATTCTTGTCAGCATCAGCCGAATGTGATCGCGATCTCGAGTAGGCTGGCGATGCATGAACGGAGCCAGATCGCGACCGGCTTCTTTGTGGCGTAGCGTCTCTAGCCGGCGGCGAAGCCTTGTAATATTCTCGGCTTTCGGCACGTTTTCCCCTCGGTTCCGCTGATCTCGATCTACTAGGTGACTTACTTCCAGACTTGCTTACGCGAGACCGTCTTCGATCATTACTACATTTGAAAAAACAGTTATTTTGATGATATTAGTAGCACTGTTTGCATTGTATTTACCTTCTAGATCGACTGCGAGCATGTGGGCGAGGTGAC